ATTTCATTGATGAGTGGGAACGACCAATATGGCCGCCGCCTATTTTCATGGGGGAAACCGCTGAGATTTTTGGCTTCAGTTTTGTATTCCGAGATGCGCTATCTAGTGTATATGAGATATCTATGGAAGGAACCGAACAAGCTAACGATATGCACGCTATAAGGATAATTGTTTTCAAAAATTTCTTTTCTTTAAGAATTCGTTTTTCTTGAGCACGACTTGCAGGTACGGTAGAATTTTGAAGAGCTAGGCATTTTGACTGTGTCATCAGGTTGAAATATGTTAAAGAATACATCACAGATGTAAATACGACTATTATTACACCAAACGAACTCAACACCAGTTGGTCATTTTCTCTTCTAAAGAACACTCGCTTTACGGGATAGACAATACAAACAATGCATAGACCAGCTACCCACACAGCGATCACTTTCCCCTTCATCAATGTACGATGTTTCAACGGGTACACTACCATTAAATAACGGTCAATAGAAATTGATATTATCGTTCCAGTAGATATATCAAGGAAATACAAGACAACGAACTTCAAAACCAATCGCCAACTTTGCACTTTAACGCAGAAATTAAAAGGTGCTGTTAAACATATTAAAAAATCAGACACCGCAAGAATAATCACGAGATACGAACCAGAATTTCTGAAACATCTTAACGGATCCTTGATAAAGCAATTCAGAAGTAATAGATGTGATATTCCTCCTAGGAAGCAAATACATATAGAAGGCACCATTTCGTAAGGTAATTGGAATGCTCCTGAGCTATTTGTTTCGGCCATATTGAATCTGCACCTGTTAGTCACAATTTGCTAAAAACCGCTTCATGGGATTCGTTTGGGGGTTTTGATTACAATTCATTGTTTAGTTTAGGTACCTTGATGTAAATAAAGACAGTATAAAAAGTATATTTTATATGAAATTTTAATTGAAAGCTGTCATTTTGCACAGACTTTAATTATTATTTATTTGTTTAATAATAACACATGAGCGGTCCTGCAGCTTATGGCGTCATATTACCGCCAATATTCATATCCATATCAATTCAACATGTTTATCAAATTGATGAAGTTCTCACTATTGAACATCATAAATTCGCTATACCATTCGGATTGAACACTCGTGAAATTTCAACATGTTTTCGTATTTGATGTGAATTTCAATGTTGAACATGTCATATTCAGCATGTCGTTTTCAATTTAACACTCTTAGAAATTTACAAATGTTACTAATTTTTAATTAAAAACATTTTTAAGGTTCAAGTGTTAAAACAACATGAAAACGCGTAACTATATGAATTTGAGAAGTCAATTTTGGCGATTATACAAACACGGCGTGAAATGTCCGCCAATATTAATCCCCGAGCCGACGGCGCGAAGCGCCGTGCGAGGGTACTAATTCGCCCCGGCTATTTACACCCGGGGAAACGAAAGCTTTAGCGAAGTCTAAAGTTCACAAATAATCGCGGGCGTGGCTCACTGTGCGTGGGTGGTCATCCTCACTGATCTCAAAAATATGGCGGACTGTCATGAATAGCGAACACTGTGATTGGTCCAATTTAAAGTTTGCATTATAACG